TTCACAGAAAAATTACACAACTTGCGCCTAAAACCTACCCTGATCGTGTTTGAGCTCGAAGATATGATTCTCTCGCTAAAGTGAGTATTTATTACATCTAGCTAGTTAGCGTATTACAGTGCTATCGCTGTATATATGTTCCTTAACATGGAATTTGAGGTATCAGTACTTTCTAATACGTCCCCAATTCATAGATAACGTTAGAATACATGTCATAACTTATCACATTCAATAAAAATTTCGGACAGATTTGCATTTATATGCACCCATGATGATGCAGTAGTAACGTGCTTGTCTGCGGAACTTAGAAACCTCATGCGCGGTCTAGATTCAAAATTGTCAACACTATTGACAACATGACACTGTCGCAAATCGTTTATTATAGCATATTGTTAGCATGCCCTTTTATAGGTTCTTTGCAAAAGGTACAGCAGGGCATACAGGTCGGAAATATGGCATATAGTAGTTAACATTAGCGTTGACACTCCGTAATGTAAGTGTGTTGTTCCTGGCTCTTGGCGAGACACTGAGATGGATCCAATTATCTCATAATCTCTCTTTTGCACGACCGCCTCACGACTCAGATTCAAAGTGATTCAATATACAGAGTAAAAATTGGCGGCGGGGTTAAAAGGCTGGAAACCGGGCGTAGACACATGTCGTTTCGTACTGGTGGAAGTCAGCCGTTTGAAGCAATGCTAAACCAGAGCAGCAGAACTGGATGTAACATTTATTTTGACAGATCTGGATAATTCTACCACACTAAATCGAAAAACCTATGCCTTTTTCTTTACGCAGATTAGTCATTTGCCCTAAGCATCTTTTCTGGATCCTCATGCTCCTCCTGTAAAATATAAGCTTCTATGATGGATTTAGGACCTTGAGACTGATTTTGTGTAGAACTTAAACCACCTTTTACAACTTATGTTCAATATATGACATTTTTTAAATAAAATCTGACAAGCATTATGTATGGCATTTACGGTTGTGGAATCAAAAAGCTACGGATGTTCGCATTATATCCACATTTGAACTTGGTAACAATTCGGTAGCTAGAATCTGATTCTTGGGCCTTCTAACAGGCCGAATGCAATTTTGTTGTGCTAATAATACCATAATGGATACATCGTTCCGCCTGAGATTATAACATGTTTTGCCAAACACTTCGGCCGCTTCTACCACCAGACCCACCGCGTTTCGCCCCATAATGAATCTCGCTTTCTTTGTTTTTAGTATCACCGCTTTTTAACTAGTTAGTCAATGTGCCTTACGTGGATTACAAATGTTGTATCCTATCGGTCTATGGTAATTAAGAACCGGTTATTAGACCCTGCCAATTTAAACTCATGCGATTTCATACCTAAAAAAAAGGATAGGCTTAATGTTTGTTTTTATTTATTTGATGCACATATATTTTATTAGTAAATTCAGTTCATCATCTTATGAGTGGAACTTTTCAACGATTAATATACAGTGATACAATTGGTTGTTTCCAATCACTAATTGTAGAAATAGACTTGCCTACGTATTATCTGGAAAATACAGATGTGTAAACATGAAGTGATTTTTCAGTTTCCTAGTCACCTAATAAAAACCGTCCAGATAATCTGTGTGTTTCTATAGCATAGTTCTGTGTGTTTACCTAAGCATTTATATTCCTTCCTGGCCCGTAGTCATTTGTATAGGATTTTTTCATGGATTTGTCGTTGGAAACTGATCACCGTTAAACAGATCACAAATTCAATACGTTATACATAACCTAATCAAAAAGTTTCTCGATAGTCTTAAAAAAACCTCTAAAGGGTTGGCTAGAACTTCAATTTTCCAAGTATCCGGAACCCTTCTTGAAATTGTCCAGAGACTTATGCGCCATCTTGTGCAATAACGGTGATAACAAACACTGCCGTAGAAAAAAAACAGCTGAAAAATTAAAAATCTTAACGACGTATCCATTCGGGCTCAACAGAACTGGTTGCTATTTAGGTGGTATCTTTTTTTGAAGAACTCTGATGTGTATGCGCAACTACACACGCATTCCAATTACTAACTGAGCTGTTTTGTTGACACTTTGCTATACACACGGTTGGATTTTACATTCACGTTATTTTACGCATGCAACAGTTCACTTCGTTGGAGTGCTCGTTAGTTTACTGCTTCATTGTACACATTGCTATTGATTTGTAATATGTCAGTCTGTCGGTGAAGTCTAGTAATATATATATATATATATATATATATATTATATATATATAGAATGGTGCTTCAATAATGCATTAGTATTGCGGCACGAAGGAGTTGAATGACAATGTCATCCAACTCAAATTAATCATCAGGAGAGGTTATGACTGAAGTTCAAAGTTTTATACGTGTCGTACATTGGTACCGCCATAGAGGAAAGCGTCCATTTGAATTTTTGACTTTCTATGCAAATGTATGCAACTATGATATATCATACATTTATAGATATCGTTTCGTCATTAACGAGACATAACTATCCCTGTTGATGTGGCTATTATGGCTATAAGTTACACAAAATAGAACATGCGGATATACTCTGGCTTATTTACAACTTTGTTCCTTTTCAGTAGGTGCGTTTCATATAGAGAGAGGCCACACAGGTGTGAGAAGCAACGGCGGAATTGTGCGATCTCTGTTTCATCGAATAACGCTCCCTTTACACAGTGTTGTAAAAAAAATATTAATTTTTTTTGGGGGTGGGGAAGGCGCAGAAGTTTTTCTTAGCCGTATTTGAACCATGTTCCGCGGAATAGCGCCAAAGGAACTATCAGATCTGTAGGCGCACTTTTTACTGTTAGAAAAACAATGACCCCTATGCAAATCCGAGCCTCCAGCTTGGTTCTTCGTCGCACGGCGACGCGTCGCCGGTGCCGCTTTCAGCACAGTTCGGCATTGTCATAAGAAAAATAAAGATTTGTCATGAAGAACATGGGGGAATGAGAGATATAATGTCTGCGCCTCCTGAAGCGCTCATTTCAGCCACCTGGAAGAAAGCTAAAGGCGAACTTCGTTGTCAAACGCATATACACATGTAGACACAAAATCACAGAGAAAGACAGTGGTCTTAAAACGGACTCAATCTAGAACGAGACCAAAAACCTGTGTTGCCAGATGACATATTTGATATTGGGTGCGAATCTCTCTAAATGTTTTCCATTCTATTAGTTTCGTTTGCGAATTCACGAGAGCATAACCCCCGGCAATTGCAACATGGCTGAAGTTACCCGTATTCAGGCTTTCTTATACCGCTGCCTTCGTACACGGCCATAAGAGTTACGAAAAGTGAGTAGGCCCAACTTTAATCAGCTGGACTGCTACGGTCGATTTCAACGTAAATCGCTGTGGTAGCATGATTCGATAAACGGATGTAAGGTTGGCCTGTTTTACTAAAAATATGGATTAGTTTGTGCTAAAATATACTACTAAACATTGATTTTCATATAGCACATTTCGCATACTACACAGGACGCTCAATTCAGTTTTATTCAATTTTGCTCCCTTTCCTAGGTAATACGTCTTTATTTTTTTCGAATATAGCATACTCGCCGGATACTCTATTTTCGAAAATATTCCCGCTGCTTTCTAGCCCGTGTAATTGTTCGTAACTGTAGGAGACTCATTAAATTATTCCTTCTTCGTGCGTCGTTCACTGCAGAAGATAACATTATCATGTTTACTGTCCCTCTTCATAAACGAAACGGATGCACTCAGGTTCATCTGATGACAAACACTGCTCGAACAACGATGCTCGGCTCTATACTTGCCTATACCAACGTTCTCATTCTGCCATCCATCACGTTCTGCGTTAACTACCATTATATTCTTCTTTTCAGTGTAATGATTTTTGCATTAAAAAAATACAGAAAGCACGCTTAGTACTTTGTTAGGTACACGTGTATAAACGTATCTTTGATCAGGTATTCATCGAGTAAATATGACTGAACCCTTCAGAATAGAATAGTTCAGGGCTATCGTGAAAATTGGCTTTCATAGCACTCGGCAGCAGCCATTGTTAGGGTCTCAATATACCTAATGCTACGTATGCTTCATATTAATATTTTTGCATTTTGTCATGGCATATAGATATTCCTTCGTCGAGAAACATCTCCATATGCATTCCTATATCGAACATATATTTTGAAATATAAGCCAGGCACCTTATTTCACAGAGGCCGTGTCCTTAACATCGAAAACTTGCACGAGTCCTTATACTGCTGTACTCACGCCGTTCGCTCGCATATTTTCCGACACCATTTCTCGACGGTTCTGTAATGGCATATGCATCTAGTTTTTACTCACACGCTTATTTCATATATATTTATTGGTTGTTTTTTGGACCAACAGGAGATCGTTCGATTGGATGAACGCGACAAGGATGCTTGCGTGTTTCATTTTATCCACCTGTCTGTATCAACATCCTAATATAACGGTGATCGCTTGTCAGCTAAGCTGTCGTGAAAGCAACAGGAACTACGACAAAAAACACATGGCCATCTAGAAGATGTGGGCCACTGGAACAGAGGCTTGAATTCGTGAGACGAAAAACGCCAAGGCTATCACTAAGGCTAGAGATGATTTTACACTGGACGCGTCTAATGTAACATAGTAATTGCAACGGTCACCTGTGCAACACTCCGAACATTCCCAGTCGTTATACCAAATTCGATCGCAGCGTTTTGATTGTTGTCGAGTCGTATAGTCGCAGACAGTCTGATTCGAGCACCACTTCGAAATATAAAATTGCTTTTCGCCAGTGGGCGCCCAATAGGGCGTTGACCCCCAACGGACCTCGGTCATACATCGGTCCTGGTGGGGCTCGCAAAGTTGGATTGTCGACGTACATTTCGAATTGTTCTCGTCCTGATTCGTGCAGATGTAACACTCCAGTGAAAGGACGCCGGTTGGACATACTACGAGTAAATAAAGAGCAGCGACTACGAATAGTTGTTCGTGAGATGGGGTTTGATCCGACGGCATTTTTTCGTGTTTTTCTTAATTGGTGGTTTTTTGCTTATCGGTCGATGGAAGGTATTAGCTGTAGTCGCTCAAAAACAGGTAATAATTTATGTGGAGAAAGTGGACTATATATATATATATATATATATATATATATATATATATAGCGATTCGTTTGTTGTTCTGGAGGATCTGAGAGCACCGTTGTTTTGCGCTCGTTAGAGCTTGCAAGGACGAAGTTCGTATTGCACTGCCTGGCAAGATCCGTGGTCCAGTTAGTCAGCGATGACACCTATAGCGAACAGAGAGCGACCAGAAGGTCTCTAACGATTGATCTGTTTATCAGTGTTTTCCGACTCCATTAAAATAGACACATTCACTGTAGTCACAATAGATTCAACTAGTCACATTTCCCGTTAGTATGCTCCAGAGTTTAATTTACTGCAAAAAAGCTTAGAAATGCTAAATACTCCTGTTGAATACTGTTTCAATCGGTCTTGTAGAAATCGCCTTACCCTTATATCCTCAGCATTTCTATTTGGCGCAAGCTCATGCATAAAACCAATCGGCACAGAAATTCCAGCAAATTTGCTGAATCACATGGGACAAAACAATTCTCCACAATGTAAGATAGTTGCCAGGCTGCCACCGTTAAAAAAATTCTACATCGTCAGTCAGCTTCACTGTTGATCCGTGATTACTGGTTGTATAGTGCTTTATACAGCTAAACACTGGTTACTTCGTTGTCAAAGTCCGTAAGGTATCAGCGCGACCAGAAGACGGCGTTCGACGCTCAGTACTTAGCTAAGCATTGGTGTTCCTGTTTCTATTGCTATCAGTTTTGTTTATGATATTCGACGATGATGGCGGCTGCTGGTGCATTCGGGCATAGATTGTCGTCTATGGATCGGCACATGGACGCGGTGCGAGCCAAGGGAGGCCCAGCATTTATTCTCGTTGCCATGGCACCAGCCACCGAAACAGTGCAGTAACGTCCGTCGGCGCTAGGCTATCAACGAACGATTTGGCGTCAACAGCGTTACGTTTAGCTGTTCCCCCATCGTTCCTTTGTATTTGTCTGTCCATTATTCTGCCGTCGCCGGAAGCAGGCACTCAGTCCCCGATGACGCGGCCAGTAGAGAGTTCTCTGGCGCTACAGAGCTGCTGCTGATGACGCTCTTATCCCATGTGTTGTTTGTGTGGCGCGCCATCGCTGCAGCGACATCTACGACGGCACCGTCGACGGTTGCGACGTTGCGTTTATGCAAAAAAAATTGTATAAAAAGTGATCGCCAGATAGATGAGCGTCTTTAACGTAGTGGAAACCGACTTTAACTCCCGACTGATGTACCTTTGTGCTCGTTCTGTGAAGGCTTAGAAAGCGACCTGACTTAAAATTTAGATACTACGGCAGGTAATTGTGATTAATCGAACACACGGCTTACGAGTTCCAATTGTTTCGTTCCGTTCGTTTCTGTTGTCTAGCGGCTTTAGCCGTTGTTCTAGCAGCGACAATAATAGAAGACTCTCGGGCCGCCCTGTAATAAATTACATTTTCTGACTTCACTTCCGGACATTGGACCGTTCCTGTCGCATTATTGGGGAAGCACTTTTGTCGGAAATCGTGTCATACGAACTAGACTACAAGATCTGCCAGTAAGTGCCGAACTGTGTGCTTCGACAGTTTAGCTAATCGTGGATGAAAACGGGACTCATCGACCTCACTGTTTCGTCTTAACAACAGAAGCAAAGCACCGGAGCGAGTGCTCGTGAGTTAAGCGCTGAGACGTGTGGCCATTCGCTTTTACTAAAACTGCCTAAAACAAAGAGAGGTCACACGTAAAAAGCGCTCTAACTAGTGAGCGTCGATCTACTAAGCAATTTATATCGTAGGCACCGTTACAATGTAATATTAAGCCACTGGACATTAGATTTTTTAGTTCGGCCTGCCCTGCTTAGCTAGGACAGATATCGTTGTTTGCTAAACCTGTTCGGAAGATATTGGTAAACATTTTGATAGGATTTCACCAACAACAGAAGGGGGGGGCCAAGCAGGCGTTCCCATTTTCGTCAGCTAAACCGACCTAACTCGTGTAACATTCTGCGCAGTGCCCCGCTTGCGTACGTGAGAAGTATATGTGTGCGGACTTGAAGGGTCTTCGGAGGACGTAGAGGTTTAAAGGGCGCTTTTGAAAGATTTGTCAATACCGAAGTGACTAAGGAGAGTACAAACGTTTATTGAACGGCGATTATATAATGGAGCTCTACATATTCTGTCTCGTATGCGTCATGTAAGTGGATATTTGTCATTTGGTGACGGCTATAGCGAGATAATAGCTGTCTTTTCTTTTTTCCTAGTTTTATGATGAAAATTGAAAATGCTTTGCACGTAATATATGATTATACGCTTTAATTGAAAACTTTGTGACAATGGTGCACGTATGCATTAAACAAGCATGTTACTATTTTTACTTGTTGCATCAAACTACCCACCCCGCGCGCGAGAGGCTTTCCATGAGACTATATCATTTACGCACCGCTATTCGGCCATTTAGGTGAACTTATGGCATGAGACTTAAAACTTATTCCGGTCGTATCGAAACTCACCGTTTCCGAAGTTTATCAACGTTATTCAATCTATAGAGAATTAATGGGAATTCTTCTTGTCCTTATATCGGACTTTACTTCGACACTTTAGTTTACTTCGACAATCCATTGTACCTTTACGTTTTTTAAACTTGTATATCATACGAACACTGTGTATATCATGCGCGGCCCAACATATGTTTTGAATAGCTTAATATACAACATTTGGCCTTTTAGGACGATTGAACATAACATCCAATTAGAGTGCTGTGTTATGCGTAGAATTATATCTGTTACGTATTTTCTGTGTTTTAGGGTGACCGCTGTGACACTCCGATATTGTGGCTTAGTTTGAGCCCGCCAAACGAATACGTATGATTGTGATTTCTGTGCCCGATGTGTAGAACGACACATCATTTTCGAACGATGATTTTAAATCTAATTTATTTACCCATTTTAGGTACTTGTTTACAGTAACCTGTAACAACCCTACCTGTATCTTCACGAACGAAGCGGGTGCAGAAATGTCTTGAGAAGTCTGAAATAAGTGACTCGTTTGAACACTGTTTAAGGTTGCAAGATACTGCGGCGCCAAACTTAGATATATTAATTAACTTTGCCTATTTGAATTGTGTTTCGGATAGCTGCATATTGGTGCCTCTTTTCGGTCTGTAGGTGATTCTAAGAATTAAATATTATATTAATATGGATGTATATATATATATATATATAGATAGATATGAACTTTGGCTTTGAACAGTTTGCATGCTGTTACACTTGATGATACTAGGCTTTTATTGATAGACTCAACCTTAAATCCTTTACATCGGACGCCTTATGGTCGTTTGCAGTATGTCTGAGACCAGAGCACTCTTAACAGTTAGCCTAAAAATTCTCGGCAGGGAGATACAGATTGAGAGTTCATATCTTAAATACGTATGACAGAAGCTTACCTGAGGCATTACCTGAATATGTTTTTTTGGCATATATTGGGTAATGTTTTAAGAAACACTGAAAGATCGAATTGGTTACGTAAAGCGTAGAGTAGTTCTGTTTCTTTGCAATTATACCTCGGCAGTGTATCGCTTAGGCGCCGAATAGAGTCTAGCGCTTCTGTATGATTACGAATCGCTTTTAAGGCAGTGCTTTGCAGAATGGTATGGTACACGATTCTCCAGTTAGTCGTTGTCTTTTGATCGCTTCATCAGCCAGTATGGTCCAGTCTGCTCGGTGCAGGTATACTTCTATTGAAGCATAATTTCTTTTCGCGTAGTCTTTCTCCTCAATTATATGGTCGAAAACGTGGAATTTTATTACCATGGCCACCAATACCTACTAAATGCCTATTGGAGCTTTAGTGGGTGACTTCAAACGTTGACGCAACAGACACGAAATACCAGACAGGCGCCAAAAACAGTGAGGAAAACAGATGAAGCCGGAGTCGCGGTGAAACTGAAGTTACCGTCACGAGCATCCACTAAAGCAATTTCATAACGCCGTTAATATGAATGCATACAAATGCAGCAGTTTTCCATACTATGTTTCAGTTCAATGGTACATACATAATAGCTTAGTTCTAGGCAGGTAGCAAAGGAACTTACCGGTTCTGTCAAATGGCTTTCTTCGGCGCTGAAGATTTGCTTTAACTTTTAGCTATCGTGGCTCTGTACCTGTAATCGTTCTCCATTTTTATCCGGTAAATCTGCTACCATTCGGCCTCTACCCGTACGCGTTTACCGATTACGTTGTAGCGTAAGATGCATTTGAAGTTGATTTTTAGGGCACGTGCATCCGAGTATTTTTCTAAAAACAAATGCAAAGGTGGAAAGCCGGTGAATTGAATACGAATAGAGAACCCTTTTTTACTTGGTTTATTTTCTCCAACAGTTGTAATAAAATAGTAAGACAAAATTCACGAGCGATACTAATTACATTAATCAACAATCTTTTTCACAATTAAATAAACCGGTCCAATAAAGGTGACAACTCCGCTTCGAAGTCCTTATAATTGAGCTGCTTCATTGAATGAATCACATCACCTCCAATTTCGTGCACGCGTACAGTCATATCTAGCCGATCCTCAACGCATTCAAAGTACATATTTAGCCATAAATACCCACACACATTGAGGGTGGTACTACCCTTCCGTTCGAGAACAAATTCAGCCAGCCAAGCGCACCGCTAAGTACAACAGCTGCCGCCGAATTCGAACGTTACCGCGAGAATGAAGTCAAGAGAAAAAGGCAGCAACGTCTATTGGCCATAACTAATCGGGTTAAAGTCCTGCATCCTATTTTATCCGCACGCTAGCAGAACTGGCCCTAGCGGGTATATTACTCCCGTATCTTATACAGTCATGTCTCCCGAATTATGCCCCTGCTACAGCAGATGGCCTACTCGCACCCGCAAAATATCTGCGTGAAAACTGAATGCGTTAGTAAATGGCGTTGGCAAATGCCAGGGCAGATAGGTACTAGATGAAGTTCTATTTTTACGCGTTTGTCGTTTTCTAGATAGAGGATCTCTGTCTCAATCTAACTGTTTTTGTTACGTCAAAGAGTAAACACGCTCGTTAAATTTTGACATCAATAGTTGATACTATTATATATCATAGAACGTATAGTTGATATTTGTACCTAGCTATGTAAGGAGGGTGAAAAGCTAAGGTCTAATATTGCGCCTTGTACCCTATACAGATTCAGCTGATTGACTTTTCCGTTGAAAGAGCGCGTTTACAGCGGACGTGACTACACCGATTTTTCATGGACATCTGGCGAAGATAGGCAAGACTGACTGCATAAGATCTTCCTATTCTAGGTTTTCGTCATGGCTAAAAACTGACACCGTTTCGAGCATAAAATAAAGCCGTAAGCACACTATCTTTTATTTGTTTCCGCGTGGTACCTAGGCCGTTTGGCATTACTTTAGATGTATGCTTTCTATTACGAAATTTGATGTACAGAAGATAAACGAAAGTTATATATTTCAACTTTTGCTTTTTTTTTTCGTAGATCAGGTAGTATTAATCAGTCAGATTCAGTTAGATGATTAGGGTCTCCGACGGGTTACATGGAGTTCGTCATAAAATTTATTTCTGTCACTAGTGTCATATTATTACGGAGCGATTTGATCGAAATGGGACCATAATGCAAATATCAAACAAACGAGGCTACATTTTCTCTTTATAAAATAAGATGCGATAGATTAGTTAGCATTTTAGAACATAATACTGGCCATTTGACTCCAGACAAAACAAAGAAATGAGAAAAAAATGTTCTTTAATTCTACCTGCTGTCAATTGGCAGTCGTTAATCCCAGGATGTCCGCGAGCTTGAAACACATCAGAGTAAGGAACGAATTTCTTGACGAACTCGTAAAAAAAAATGTAGACAGAGAACATAAAGAGTGAAGGATTTTGATAGGCCCTAGAAAAATCATTTTTGCACACAGCCGAGTGCTTTAGACAATTGAGCTCTTCCAGTAATAAACAAGTTATGTCTACGCTCGGCTTCGAACCTGGAACGTCACGCAACAGAGTTTATCGTAACCAAACAAACCAGATGTACCCAGGCCAACATTCTCCTCAACATTCAACACTCCTCCAGCAGCATTATCCCTAAAAGGTCTCCTAAAAAACCGTTGCTATTCGCGTACAACGGCAGTATCGTGTCGGAGAGCAATGGAGCAATATGATAGACCGCCTGTAGAATGAGGCCTAGCACTTTGTTTCGCGTGCTCGTAAATTACATGCGCAAGAAAGGATGGCGCCTAACGCGATTGGCGTTGCATGTCTCCGTTTCAAACCCTCGCGCCTCCGCTTAGCACAGTTTGCTAATATTGTGTAAGCGTGCGTCCGTCGTAGACAATAATTGCAGAACAGGAAAAAATGATAAAGACACTTATACCCTACGACGCCTCCAAGCGCGCTCCTGTGCCTTTGCTAGCTTGGTCTGTTCCTTAGTTTTTTTTCTCAAGGCATCCCTGTTGGGGCGTCTTTGAGGCGCCACGGAATCGTTGGTATCCGCCGCGGAATGGTGCGGTGTTTTCAATTTTGCCATCGCGGCGGCAGGCAGCACAATGTGGGCGGACGAACAGTGGGTAGGTCGGTGGGTCGCTTATTTGTTATGGCCGCATCATGCAAGGCGACAATGCTTCTGGCCGCTCATTGGTCCTTTGTTTGCTGACTGGGATAAAGTGCGTGGTTTTCTGCACCCGCTGGATTCGTGTTCCAACTATTTCTACTGATAGTCAGCAATTGCCATCAGTGCATCGTGCACAATTGTTGCTGTACATGTGACGCTACGATGGTCATCAAACTCCACATGCGTTTCTTCGCATGCAGCAAGCAAAAGAGAAAAAGACGGTGACGAGAAAGTAGGCAAAGAGGGAAGACGGTGAAAGGTCCCGTGTTTGAAATTTCCGTCTTTACTTCCACCAAATATTATAGTGAGTAGAGGCGCAAAAGCGATGTTTTGTGAGTGGTTGGCGATCCGGGGTGGCGACTAGGGCGACGCACGAGGGCGAAGCCGCAGTGCTACAAATGGAAAATTTCGAAATGAGAACAAACAAAGCAAAAATAGCAGTCACTTATTCATTGAAATAGTGGTAAAAATGAAGTAGCAGCGATGCTTACATGCGCCTTTTTTTAGCAGTTCAAGCTTTTCCAGCTAGACGAGACTTGTTTGCTTTTCTCCGAATGTCCTAAACTCGATCTCGTGTAAAGTACGCGTACATGTGTGTGCGTGCGTATGGCATCAAAAGGTGCGTTTAAAAAAAGTATGCATGCCGAGGTCCGTGAGAAGTGCTTTAACTTTGTAAAGCTGTCAATAATGCTAAGTGCCATTGTAGTCGAAGGTAGATGAAATGTAGCCGGTGCATCCGCGCATAAAGTACAAAACAAAATAAGAGGGTGTATCCATAACTATTTTGAATGAAATACGGATCGATTAACATCAATACAGATTCTCTGTACTCATATTCGACTTTCGAAATGCTCAAAGAAGAGTTCGCTCAGGTCCGTTGTAGTCATAACCGATCAATAGGATTTCCAAAAATTAGCAGTACTTAGCACCGGCGGTGCAATTTTACGAAATGTTTTAGGAATAATGTTTGGTACTATTTTTAAAATGGTTTAATTCAACAGTCGGCTGCAAGCATGTCACATAAATGCATAGTGTATTTCATACTAACTTTCCTGTGAAATGGTCCATTTTTGCTAGTGAAAGTCGTACTTACAGGTTTGCTGAATAGTGCTAGTTACTTGAAAGTTTTTCGTACTCTTTACTAGATTTTCAAAGTTTTCTAAAAAAACAAACCCAAGGAGCAGCTTTGAAGACTGCGGATCTGCGCCGTCTGTTTTTGTTTCCTTGTCAGATTCAAACTTGCCTATTTCGCAAGTTCATCACTTCAGCGAGAGTCTTCATTCTACAGAGAATTTATATGCCTTATAGCATCAATTCTAACCATCGTACGGCCATGTCGGTGATAAAATAAGTAACGATGGATGTAATTTTCTTTATTGCACGTGAAAAGACGTAATTGAGAACGGGATTCTGAGATAGGCTCGAAGGCACACAGCCTACGGTTCGCGAGCTCCATAATGCAGATACTGTCTGGATACGTTTGCCACCTGGCGCGCTCTTTTCTTTACGCCTGCTAATGCGAAACGCGCCCGCATTTAATTCGCCTTTGCGTTCTTAGCGGTTCTGCAGAAATCGGGGCAGAGTTTTTGAGTAAAAAAAGAATATAAACCTCCACGACAAACAGCAGAGTTGATTGTGGACCCGTAGTAAAGGGATCACAAATGTGCGAGAAGGGCATAGAAGAACCAGGAACTAAGAGGGAGAAAACAAGCCTGAAAGAATATGGTGAGAGCTGCAAGCTAAACTCATTGCGCCAGAGACTAACTCCCTTAACTCTGCGGACTCCTCGTGTAAACTAATCTCACAGGCTCTGGTCCGTACTTTTGGCAGCCTGCTAGGCCCGCAAAAACATGGGCAATAATTAATAGCCGGTGTGTTCAGGGAGCGGCTAGGGAATACCTCGAAACAGGGGAGGTGTACGAAGTAGGCTCCGCTGCAGTAAAATTTTGTCATAGTCGTTTGTTCATCCGATTACGATAGCAAGGCAAAACCAGAAAAGGTAATTTTTTCGAACGTATGTGTTTTTGTGTGGGTATATAAATGTTTGTGTATGTCTTGATAAAAAAAAGCACACGAAAGGAAAGCAGCACAGAGCAAAATTTATTGATGTATGCGAATTAGGTACGGCAATGAAAAGTGATAGAATGTAACGCATCCGTGATACTGCTGCTGTTATTGTGACGACTGTGCCGTCAAACAAACGATGTCGTGAAGTGAAAATAACGGACGTATGGTACATCGATACATCTAAGCCCCAAATGAGTAAGGCACTAAGCTCTGATTAGATTGCTATCGGTATTGGATTGTGAATCAAAACTGTACATAATCTAAATGGAAGGTGTGTACATTTCAATTGGTTGTCGTTAATCTAGTTCAGGTCCAAGAGTATATACATATATATATATATATATAGATATATATACATATATATCTATAGCTTCTATATATATATATATATATATATATATATATAAGACTTATGATCTGCTTTGAATCTGTTCCTTACCATGAGGCCTCAGTTTGTCAAGGTAATATGGTTTCTAGTAGTTTCATTTACTGATAGAAAATAGGCAAAAACACTAGTGAACGTTTCCAGTATTTGAACGGCAAACACAGTCGTTGATAATATATGGCAGCAATTACAGATTCAAAAAGATAATAAGATAATTTTGGTCTACACTTGTTGAATCTGTGGACATTTGCAGGATACTTGGAATCATTATAATCAATGGTATATATTGCTTTATGTATTTATCGTACCCGCTACCAGGAGGGGTGGATCCCTGTCCACCATTATCGCGTTTTCGAAAGAAGGCTCGTAGAAGGCCGCATACAAGAACTCGTTCCCCTGTGAGGTCTCCCGCACAACGACAGGATTCCGCTGCTGAAGTTATGGTTTGTATGATAATGTTTTTTCATAAAGTACATTTATTTGGCAAAAACTTGTATCTAAGTCCCAATCCTTTCATGTCAGATAAAGCCAGCCGCCTGAAGCAGTAATATCGAACATACAATTTGAAACATTTGTTCGAATGGGGCAAATAAAATATAATTTAATTACTATCGTGAACGTTTTAATTGTTTGTGCTCGTCATATATTCTACCTGGTCACGGAATGAGCAGTAGGTTTGTAACGAGCGTATTTGACCTAATAGGTTTTTAAGAATAGGGGTTTCTTTATTTTAGTGTTTAAGGACTATGAAAATTTGCATTTTGAAGATCACAACTAGAATGACCAGCAGGTGCAGGGTGCCTCGTATTTTGCTAGAAAAATGTACGCAAATGATCGAGCTTATATGTTTTCGCCATCGAAACCAATTATATGAAGTATGTCTTTCTTTAAGGACATTTTCTACATTCTTAACACGTGATGATCGAATTCAGTATTGCGTAACACACGAAACCTTTGAATAAGGTTATTCTAATTTAACCTTTAAGCAATACTGCCGAATAATCTCTTTTCCTCGCTAATTTTTACTTTATTTGCGTCAAGATACCAATGAGTCAGTATGAAGACCAGGTTGATATTCGACTTCAGCAAAGCGTCGTGTCGTCTCCCCGTCGATCACAACTTCAGCAGAGCACCCCGCACAGGAAGTTGTCCGATAGGTTTGTCAATAACTTTTGTTCTCAATAATGTTTTTTGTTTTTTGCTTTTGATACAAGACGTTATTTCATTGAACACCTCTTCAGGAATTGGAATGAGTGCACGTATACTAGCCTGGAGTTTAACGTGACGCTGTTGCTTAATCAGGTTAGATAAAGGACTGCATCGAGTTACCTCATCGAGAGCTGGCACCTCTTCTTCAGGAATTGGTACCCCTCTACACTCGGGCCGATCGATAACCCCTGTATCGCATCGAAGCATTAACATTTCCGTCGTTTCTATTACTCCGCCTCTCGCTAGGTCTAACACGCCCACAAGACCCCCAATCGCTGGAACGTCATCTTCTAGAATGAAGTATGGTCAAACCGAAATCTAGTAAGAGTATCTGTGCTGGATCTACATACCGAATGGCACAAGAGAAGTTCATATTGTTATAAGGTGCCGTCCGCAGTATCTTTATTTTGCTTTCGTACCTGCTGTCTAGGTGCACGTAACGATGAACTGATTCTAAGAAAAAGAAAAGATATTCCCTTTGAATGGAAAGTAATTACGTTACGAATATACCTGTACCTATAAGAGTTAAGGGTGGAGATGGGCGCGACTTCCTTGCAGGCCTTCGCTGCTTCCGTCAAGCGAAGCTGACATGAATGTACAATTTTAGCGTGAATCACCAGTCAAAACCACTATTAAATGGGCGCCCATTGGCAATGTAAATCAACTCTAACGGACCTAACTGTTCAAAGTTTTTTTGTCGATAACATTTTTTTGCCCTGTATCTCTATAGCAAAAAAAGCGAAGAAAGGGTATTCTAAACAGCAATGGAAATAACAGCACGTCAGAAACATATGTGCCGCTCGTTCCTAAACGTTTCCTACATTCAGTAGATACGTAATGGATAGCGCCGGGCATAATCCGGACGTCAATTACTTCAGAAAAAAAAAAGCTGAACATCCATTGACATCAGAACGTTAGTAATTCATTAGTGAGGTCCAGCCCTACGGGGTCTTCGGTATTTCGAACAATTCGATATAATTTTCTTGTTTTAAATGGACAGGTCAAAGACCTGATAGCACCACCTTGTCAGGCTGCCTATCCGGCAGTTCCCCAGTATGGAACTCCATCGAGCAATACCTCTATGCAATATGTAAAGATTAATAAATATATTCTTAAATATATATAACACATAAACAAAATATGATAGCGTTAAGGTACTCTGAACTATACGAAGCTATCCCTCCATAAAATATACGTCCTTCCGTCAATAACTCGCACAAGCTGACGTATAGAGTGAAAGCCGCATTGCATATGGCATCCGGATCAATAGTACTGGACTAAGGTAATAGGGAGAAGTTGCTTATTTTCTTGATATGCGTAACGGATTTTTATACAAGAAAACGAGCGCACATTTGTCTTTCGCAGTTAGCTTGCTCTTCGGTACGGAAATGGAGGCGCATACACAGGAAAATAAAAAGATCGAACAAATTCGAAAACAAGTGGATTATGACGACTCAATAAAATGACTGTAGTTCAACTACGTAAGTATGTACGTATGCCGCTTGAGAGGAAGTAAAAGAAAAATAAACGAATCCTCATGATTCATAATATAGATTATATACATATATATGAGTGTGCATGGAGTGCCATGCTGAACAGAAAAGTCTGTACCAAAGGCGATATGAGCCCCACCTGCAAGCTTCTTTCTGTTCAAGTTCCAAGAAATTGCCAGCCCGGAAACCTGCTAATAATATATATACTTGTTAGCATCTTATGTAGGTCTAGTGAAGCGCACATTGGTATTTATTATTATTATTACTATTGTTATATACAAAAAGCGAAGGTTTCAAAAGGTTTAGATGATTCATGCGTTTGCGCCAGTCACATTTCAATGAAAAGAAAGCATGCCTTTATATAGATGAATTTTGTACGAATTTTAGACAAACTTCTAAGAGAAATTAGTGTAGTATGCGATGTGTACATATTTTTAGACAAAAACAAAAATGGCTAAAACAAGCTAAATCTTTACGCTTGTCATATTTCATACGATAAACAGATAATTAATAAACTATTTCTTAACTTCATACTTTACATAACTCAAAGATTCTATCATTTCTTCCGACGCACTGATAGTATGATGGTTCACTTCCGTTAATAACGAATATACTATTGCAATTGCTGTACACGCATATGTCTATATATTAATAGTTATCAGTAGATCAGTATTGCCAGATCAAACTTAGGACAAACCCAGTGCTTGCCTTTAATAGAAATCACATCATTTTGTAATAGAAAATTACAAGATGAACTACTTGGCATTAGAAGATTATCCCTTAAAGCCGTTGTGCCTCTCCATCCCAGTTTACCATTTCGCTAATTCTTTGGTGATAATCTCATTTGATGTCTATTGGTCTCGTATAATCTGTTCTGCCTGTAAGTAATGACCAGTTGGATATGTTATCTGATCCAGCGAACAGAATACCTAAGTGACCAAAGGGATCTGGGACGTTTAAACATGAACTGCTTGAACAAATGTCCTTAAATCGATTAGTTGTTTAGATTACTAGATTAGAAATTAGAAGTTTAATGGTTACTGGATACTTTTGCACTCCGTAAGCTAAGACCCGGCTGCATGATACAATCGAAACTCGGAGGAATTTACTCATTATCGTACATACCCTTCTGCTATTTAAAATTATTATTATTGTGTGACACGTTCGTGTGTCTTTATGTATGCCGCCTTCTTATCAACAGATGCGAGAGCTGTCAAACAGCGGCTACTACGCCGCCGTGAGCGTTTTAGAATACGCACAACGCATTTTCACGCCTTTTGGCCGGTTTCCCCAACTAATTCTAAAGCTTTCGTTCTTGCCATCATTCTGCGCTTTTTCGCCAGAGTCTGCCTTTTGCAATACCAAAGTGATACGTTTCAGCTGCAAGCATGGGGGAGGCTCTGCCATCCGAATTGCCTGTATTTGTTTACTAGTTGGTATGACTCGGAAGAAAGGAAAAGAGGGTTGCATGTATGGGCATGTTGAAACAGTTAACCGCCAGCAGTCCGTCAGGATTAACAAATTCAGCGCGAAACCATTTTCAATGGCCAGCGACCACTCCCCCGGGCCGAGAAGGCTGAACAGAAAAATCCAAGAAACACCAGCTAAAAGACAGTCGCTTGCATTTCCAGGCTACAACTTATTTTGAAAGCAACCACAGCAAGCAGCAAGATGCATGTCTGTGTTGACCGACAAGAAGCGACGATTTCTTAATTATCAAAAGTAACCATGTTAGCGCGTCAGTAAAGCGATAACACACAGTAGGGACTTGTAACTCGAGCAGTTGAGCTGCTGTTGCAACAACAGCAACAGAATCAGCAATAGAAAGAGCACAAGAAGCGAAGGATGAGCAGAGAACAACACATCCCACAGAGCTCAAGGTTTGAAGGCAGCACCACATTTGCATTGGTTCCAACTTATCTTCCCCTCTTAAACGCCCAGCTGCTTCGAATTGCGTTCCGTCTATCGGTGAAGTTCTTGCTTTGCGGGACAATGCCTCGAAACGACAGCGGCGCATGGTACAGGACGACTTGAAATTCTCCTATGACCATTTGCCGCACACAGGCAGGTGCTTATATACCGATAGAGTTCGTAAATACAAAAAAGCGACGAGAAAAAGAAACAGTAAAAGAGGAGCGTAACTAGATACGACAGAACTGCTCGTTCTTGTTGTTAGCGACTTAACCTCGAATCTGTAAGCTGAAAGCGGGTGGCGGCAACTGCTACCAGAAATTGGCCAAACCGAACAAATGTATACGCTTCCTTTTCGTCGTTCTCCTTCTTTGGCCGGACAGATAGTAGCGCGAGAATTCAAACGTGAAGTGCCGTTTTTCCATGACTAACTTAGTCATAGACAGAACAGCGAGTATAGGATTAGTCAATAGGACAACGACTACAGCTCGGAAAAGTAGAAGACGAATTAGGCAGAAATTCTGGGCATGAAAACTAGCTTTGGTACGAAAAGGACTCTTCCCTTCGGTTACTTTTCAATCATCATTCACGCAGCGGCAGTAGGGTTGAAACGAGCAGAGTTCACACCGCGCGATAAATAAACGCTTTTATTTTTTATTTTCTTTTATTTGGTATTTTGAGGAGCTTAGCTAAATAGGGTCTACCCCGCGGACTTGGTGCTATTCGACACGTCAGGAGGTGACGCCGATAGTAAGTTAATGTTTGATTTTTCTAAAGCTGAAGAGCTAGCAGTATGTTTAAGATTATTACAGAAATGAAGAAATGAAGAAGACGTCTGCTGGATTGAAAAAACGCAAAGTGAATCTGGTTACGGATTTGTTGCCTATATAAGGATAACATTAATCAGGTGTATGGATTTAAAAAGATAAAAGCACGAAAAATTTCCGATCTTTCTAAGTTTTGCGTTAATAAAATGTAATTAACCAAGATGATCAAATGGACCCCCAGGCTATATGAAGGACGGGTTGTACAGCAACGCGCAAATAAATAGCCTACTTCAGGGATATTTCGATTTTAATATATCATACTTAAATATTTTAAAAGATTTTAATATAAAGTAGCAATAGAACCCCAAAGGTAATAATCAAACAACAGCAAGCAGGCAACACTATTTAAAAGCGATATCATTTAATGGCATCGCTGACAAAGTGAACGATACGGCCTTCGCTGTTAGCAGTAACCAGCAAACAGAATACGGTTGACTCATTAGTTAATAAATAACGACATTCAATAGGTACTATCACTGCAAAATGTGCAGATAACGCATTTATTACAAATGATATAATAGGCTTGCAGCATTTGTCCCATGTATATACAGAATATTTATACATGGGTAATGTATTATTATAACAAAGAGGCCACACGGCGAGATCACGAAATGGCAACAGGCTTATACCACGGGGTCCCTCATGATTGTCACAGATTACTTAGGTTCTTTGGACTACCTTTTGGTCAAGCTACACCATAATGATTTCTCTACGAGGTGACACAGTCTCTTTAACCATGAGCTCCCAGTCCTTAGCAGCGATTATGGCAGGGAAGTCCTGTCGAGATATTATGAGAACACAATACGCAATTAGTTGGTTCACGACTTACGACTCCAGTGTTTTAGATCCATGAATCAACTAAACGAAACTTTGCCACCTGAGCAAATAAAATAATGTCAGAAGCAGATATGAGTTATTTAAATGTAAACGTATTGAATTCCTTATGTATATATTATGCTGAGTAAAAAGTTCCCGCTGGAGCTGACAGATGGCGCTAGCGTTAGATCGGTTGATCGTGTCTAACCGAAACGTCCAATATGATTATTTTGACTGTTGAATGTTCGCCCTGTTGTCGTTAGAAGCGGAAGTTCGGTGCATTTAGTCATGAAGCTCCAGAAGATGAATAATCGGCATTGAGTTCGTCAGTACTTTTTGTATTGGAAAGAAATGCTGTCGAGACGATTGCGAAGCCAAGGGCGAGGGTCGAGTGAGCGTTATTACCTGCCAGGTGTGACTTCGTCGCTTCAAAAACGGAAATTTCAACTTAAATGTAAAATTGTTCATGGTTAAATGCTTCATGTTTGTAAATGGTGGGATGAAAAGGGAGTGCTGTTGCACATAGTACACCGAGTTCCTAGTCAAACGCTAGGAAACGAGGGAAGAGACGATTACACAGATTAACACATCCGTATGAGCTATGAAAATGACAAACTGGTAACGAGCAACGTAAAGTAAAACTACTGCATGGCAACGTTACACCGCACACGTCTTTGATGATCCAGCGAACGCTAACGGGCATTCAATGCGAAGCTGACAATCCGGGCATCGTTATATCTGATCATTCCTGGTTTCGGTCATCGCTGGACAGCCAGTAGGCCTGACGCTTTAGAATAGAGGCCAAAGTCCGCAAATGGTTTGACAAATGAATCGCTTCCAAAGACGAAACCCTTTTACTTTGCGGCATACAAACGTCAAGAGAATGATGGGCGCAAGTCGTAGTAAACGAATAATACTATCTTGAACTGGATGTATTAATTAATTAACCAAGAAAAAAAAAGCTAAAAAACAACAGGAATTTTCTATTCAACTTAATATTATGGTTTTGCTAAACGTTCTTTTCACTCTTTTTCGATAATCTGTTCGATTTCTTTTTGCCCGATTGCATATCCAGGCCCAGTTAGAGACTTGCGCTGTCATAGGAAGTAAAAAAATTTGAGGTCCATCTATTTATGAAATTGCTGCTAATAGAAAATTTATGTCCTAATATTATCGACCGCAATAGCGACGTTAACCTACATACCCGGGTGAAGCGATGAGTAACTGCGCACAGAATTTCGTGAGTCTCCCCAGCATGTTCCATGGGAAGATGCGCCAGGTGCGCGTATATAGCCGAGCCTCGGATGTCGACGATTTTTACCTGTGTTCGAACGCACTTGGTGCATTAGCTACTCGATAAAGAAGGCAAACGAATAAAAATATTATCTTTTTAGTCGAGATCGTTTTATGCGCATTATGTGTAATACTGTGGTGGCAAGGCCGGGTGTTGAGTCTTTGTAGAGCTGTAAAAAACAACGCGTAACGGAAAAAGAATGAAAACAACAACATGTTTTACCTGCAAGGTACTCAACAACCTGCACCATTTATAACTTAATAATTGGCAGTAAAAATTAAATCGTTCAAAGCGACTGACATATGTTGTTTTCCCATAACATACTACCGTTTCATCATGTTTGATTTAACACAAAATACTGGAATATAATAAAACTCAATGAAAAAGCATTTCCCTTTTATTATATAACTAGAGATAGTCCACTAGCAGTAGAAAACTGACTACTGATTTCTGATGGATATTCAATAGAAAAATCAAACCATAATGCAAGAAAGAGTTCGTTTGTACATGGTACACTATGCACGGATTCGATGCTAGTTCCGAAGCGACCTTACAAACTAACTAAATGTTTCAAGTTTTAGGTCCAATACTGTCCTAGTTAAGCATTGCTGAATACAGGTGGTCTTCCCCAATAAACTACGTTAAGTTTCAAACCTAGAGCACCTCACGTGCCTCTAGGTTCAATTGGCAAACACAGGAGCAATTTCACAAACCTGAACTTCATCATCGAGCCTTTCGAGAAGTTCAGGCGGTACCATTGAGCGGCCAAGAACTGTCAGTTGATTCGATGATTGCATTCCTTCGAATGTTACAGAACCAATTGAGAAGTCCCGGATAACAGTCATCGTGACGAGGTTGAAAGCCGAAGAGCACCAGATAAAAGCCACAGAAACGTGACTCAATACCGAAAACTTTTTAGGACCTATAAATCGGAAATCTTCAATATATGTAACTGCAGTTCACTAAACTATTAGAGATACTATTTTCACTAATTAAAAATATTCTACATCTTTCCCTCATGACGACTATTTGTCCTCAATCCCACTAATATGACAAATAACTAAGTTTTAGTTCTGGCTGATTACTTGTTCATTTAATTAACTTACTCAGCCGAATGCTTCATTTAATCGAAACAAGACCTATATATATATATATATATATATATATATCTGGAAGGATTTATACCTTGCAGGGCAACGTAAGATTGATAGTACGACAATCATACGATGTACGGTTTTCTCCCATAATGTTCGAAAGCCATGTACTGATCTTCTTTGGAAGAAAAAGAGGAAAATGTAAGCAACGACTTACGGTCATTCGCATCATTATGTTTATAGTAAGCTGCAGACATGTCATAAACGATAAGCAATGCCATTCCTTTAATGCCTTCCTCCAAAGTAAGGACAAGATTTTATTTGCGATATAATTATAATATCCTTCAGCTTTTAGACTATTAGCAGTTTTACAAGGTCCCACAATAGAATGATGAACAGCACATTGTCAAAATGTTCACTCATTACGTATTTTAAGCGATCAGCATTCAAATAAAAATTTTTCTAAGTAAAAATTTTAGTAAATTAGCGCTTCTACTTAAATACGATTTATTTTATTTTACGCCGCACGGATCAACAGGTGGTTCAAACCATGGTTACTGCCTGCATTATGATAAGAATAATGAAGCACGGTACCTTGACGGGATCTCGACTCAGTATAGGTTTCACCTTACCTGTCGTTAACTAAACAACAAAAACTGAGAACCGCTCTCATCGATTATCATTTTTCGTGCGAGACTCGACATCAACACATACGCCGTCGCAAACGCACAGAAAATTTAATGTTCTAACAAAATACCCAACGAGCTTACATCTATTTATACTTTTAGCTGATCGGGCGCAGCGCACCGACATCGTCTGCTATAAATGTAAACCGCGCATAATTTTTTCGTATGAACGAAAAGGTTAGCCAAAGAGCTGGTTACAGAGGACGAAAAACTAGAGTAAGTTATAGAAGACAATTATTGAGATTCTAGTAGATCAGTTCAGTTTCCGAAAAATAACGTGTAAAACAAAAAAAAACAATAATGAAAATATACAATATTTATGTTCGATGAGATTGAACGCACAAGAAAGGAACTAATGTTAGCTTGCTCGCAATCCATCTTTTGTCCTGTTTTGTTTATGAATCGAGTTCTTTTCGTACATCTCTAACAAGCCCTTGCTGACTAACGTCGATCCGTAACGATTGCTCGGTCATTATGTGAGTGAGGAATTGCCATCATTGCAAATTAATATTCCTTTGACTTAAAGCATCGATCGCGGATTTTGAATAAACAGTAGTTATTATTTAAAGACATCCGATAACTATTATCAGATTGAGGAAGATTATAAAATTACAACATTACGTACATGACTAACCATGTGGTGAACTGATCCCGAAATTCTATTGACATTTATATCTTTTTGTTATGGCAGATTAATAAAAGTAACGAAGTCTCCTGTACGCATAAATAGCAAGGCCAACTCCCGCTGCTTATATCTCATACGTCTAATTACCGCACCTATACGACGTTGTATGTTAGCGGATGTTGGGTGTTTGTTGTCCGATTTAGTGAAATGATAAAAGCGTACTAATTGCACTCGTACATTCAATGCATTTTCCAGTGAATCTCTCAATAACGTTAAGGACCCTCCTTTTCAGTACCTTAATTAATGATTTCGTGACAATGAAGCATGATGGGACAACGAATTAAAGCTTATTAGGCAGAAGCTGCGTTTGCGACTCGCAGCAGAAAAGGCTACCGCACAGCGCTCTACGGAGAAATAGAGAAGAGCTCATGGATATATTTGATATATATTGCCTATGTCTGTCGTTTCAGTTTATTTGCTGCAAATTTTGTTAAAGATAATTTAATCATAGTAGAACTGTTTTTATTTTAGATTGAAAAAAGCTCGAAAAAGTCTTTTTACTGGACTCGAATTTTGCGTGTCCTTCAGAACACGTTAGATAAATCCTACAGTATAAAATTGGGCCGCTGTTATCGCAATCGACCTTTGTGTAAACTCCTATATGGCTGTACCATATGGTGCAACAATACTGCACATAGGTTGGATGCTCCAATACAGTTGAGAATTTCTCTTACGCGCTTTGCTGGCAAAGGGCTCAATGAAACGTCCTCAAGGAGTGTAGCAACATCAGTTTAGTTCTTTATGTATAAGCGTATATTATGACCGCTTTCAGAAATACCACACTTTTTAAGCCTGGACTTAGGTGGTCCAGGCGCGTCCGTTCTAGAATCTCTAAGAAGCTTTAAATTACCTTGCTGCTCCTCTAAGCGTCCATTTTTGTGTGAGCACCAACTCTTACCAACTCTGTTCAGCACTCAGCCCGTGACTTTCGCCCTTCTAGGTATACAGGTCTTTTATATGATACATTTGTATATGCCCTATGCTGAACATATGCAGTTTTAATAAATAACAAAAGTATTACCCTTTTTGCGTCAGTACTTCCATGGAACGTCCTTCCGTCAATCACCCTGCATCAAGAGGACTAATATTTCCTGTTGGACTGCTTTCGAATTCACTCGAATATTCATCACGCCTAGTTTTGTCGGAAATCCGGGTCGTCCCCCAAAATCGTATAAAGCCTTCAGGGCTTTTGCTAGTGAATGATACCCTTCAACAGCTTGTATGGATAGTGTCTGTTACAGGATTTCCTTTTCTGTCGTATCACTTCGACGAGGCCGTTCCGAATAGACGGAACACTGTTTTGGCGTACGGCCTTTCTTAAGATAGGGGCTTACGAAGGCTACTTTTAAAGTTTGCATTTTTCCCAGCAGTGAGTAAAAATATACAGAAAATTAAAGAACGCTATTTGCAAGGAACTTCTTGGAAACACAAGGAAACACTGTTCAGTTAGCTCATGCTTGCGGTAATCTGATGTATAAGGCTATCGTGTAAGTTCTGTTTCTGAAATGCATTATGCGAACGCCGTATGCCATATCTTGCTTCTCTGTTAAATATAAACGTTCCCTGTTTGCGTATATTTTAACTAAACGCCCTAAAAAAACTAAAAATTAAAAAATAAAAATTATATATAGTAACAATGATAATAGTGATAATGATAAATTATAGTAATATATATATATATAAGCCCTAAATAACCGCTCAGGCCAATTACCTGAAATGCAGTACGTGCGAGCTGTTCGTGCATATATTTGTTTCTTTCTCATGTCCTTATTCTGTAAGTTTTCCCACTTTGCCGTTTCTATTGTCGTACAAAATTTCAGTTATTTCTTGCGCGAGCTTGCACGCTTATCTTTAGTACATACTATCTGGCAATCATTAATAATACATTATACTCGCTTCATGTTGTCTATCGGCATGACGAGTCAATAAATTTTTTGTTCAAGCAGAGGTTTTGTTTTCCTGGACAGCACCATGTTCGCTATTATACGATGTGGAAACCTCGCGCTAGGGGCTATCGTAGCTAAACGGTCCATTGAATTGAAAAAGCTCATGTAATTATTAGATGAAGCTGAAAATATGGCGTATATAAACAATGGTTGTGCAGACGCCAAGGTTGAGAAAGGGTTCCCACAGAGTCTGGATGACGACAGCTAGCGTGAAGTCAGACACATTGGCCACCAAAAATGGCCTCGCAATCATTCGCAGTGATGACGGCCTTTTGGTGGTAAATAATTAGATCTTATGCGAGGGCGTCGAATTTAGTGAGTTTAGCAGCTTGTTAAGAGGATTCTGGATTAAATTCCGAGCGGCTCGTCTGTCTAATGATATCCGACAGACACCGTACGCACCGCTGCGAAAAGAATAAAGGGAAAAAAGAATAAAAAAATATCTTAAATTAAGAAAAAAAAGTTGAGTCAATTTGCGCAATGGGATAAATAGCTAGTTTGCCATTTTAAAGACAGGACTAACTACTATTGAAACTTCTCAGACCGTTACGGGTTTTGTATGAGGAAATGCATAAAACATATATTTACCTGTCCAAAGTGGACGTACGATGTACTTAAATCTATCGGACCCATCACTGAAATCTATTGGTCGACAGGTGATCGTAAATGATGATCTATTAATAGTGTGCCATAGGAATTTTCTCAGTGACCTCGATGTGAGTACATATAAAAAATAACCCATACCACGTAACAGGTAAGATTACGATGCTAGTGGAACGCCTATTGATTTGCATTTGTTTTCTACAGTTCTTACAAGAATTTTAGTTGTAAATAGAGAGTATATTTAGAAATAGCTTTGGTAGTTGCTACGTTTATTGGACTGAAAATTTAAGCTGACTTATATGTCATGCGTATTAGCTATTATTTGGTACTATCATTTGTGTCCGCATCTGTTTTGTTAAAAAGAAGATATTAATAACAGCCATGTGAAAAAAATTTGCTGACTTAGCAATAACTCTAACTAGCAAAAGACTCAATAGTTTTTTTAATAAAATATTTTTAAATACGAAACTATAAATAATTCAATTTTGATTATATGAATAATACAAAAATCAAATGAAATAAAATCAGGTTGTATTCTTCAATTAAAAGAGTTAAAATTGAACTTTCATGTTGAGTACTTCTGAGTAAATGACCAGAGTAAAAAATAAAATAATAACTAAAGGAATATTAAAAATATTTCGTAAAACGACAGCACTGAAATATCGTGTAAACGCAACAGAGTCGGCTTTCGTAAAGTTCAAAAGTTAAATAAAACATAATGCAAATGAGAGGCAAGCCGCTTGAATTACCCTAAAATTATCTCGGCCAGTTGGTTGATGCTTCGGAAGCTAGAAAAACACTTTTATTGTCCGACGAAGAAAATTTGGTGGCAAAAATTACAGATGTGTCATTGGCGTTGCCAATAGAAAACAATGATCCAATGGTATCTAGGTGTACGTCTATCAGTACAAAGCTATACGTAAGAAACGATTCAGAAAGTAGAGAGATACAGGAAAACAAAGAGCACATCGGCGCCCGTTCACTTCCGGCCAGCCCTAGTCCAAGAATCTTTATAGTGTAACACACTATTCGTAAACGGAACAAACCATAATTGATGAATTTTGTTGGGACGCAAGCGCTTTGATCACGATGGTCAGACTGTCGCCGGCACATACGCACAAACCATTGGTACAATGCATCTACGTACTGCATTTGCTGTAAGCGCGAAGAACCTATCTAGGTTTATTTTTATGCGACTGCTGGAGATGTTTGTGTTTGAAAAATAAATGAAGCTAGTGTTAGCGTAAATTGGTAAATTGGCTTCCTGCTCCGTTTACAAACAGTACATTATGAGGAAGTATCGTGGAATAATTCCCATGCGTAGAGCGATATCCCTCGTGTTTTTCTTGATTTTAGTGGCTTCAAGTTTACTTACATTCTACATTAGGTAAAAGTCCAGAAACAGCATACTTTTGACCTACTCTAAGTAGGTCAAAGGTATACTTCACGCAGCGATTTAAAGTTAGCCTTCATCAGAAAATGTGACACCTTCCGATACTGGATTATTTTGTATACATCATTATAGTTTAGTAAAAAAAAATAAGAATAATATTATAATAATGACAACAATTGTCCGCCATATGGTACATACAATCTGGGTTTGGATGCTGATACTTGCCTGTGCGGTTTTCTTAAGGACAACGCCGAAGTGGGCCCAAGGTAGCCTTTTTCCATGGTCAACAAAACGCATTTGTGTAGGATCGAAACAAAAATAAAGAACTCTTCCTTTTAAAGCGCACTGTTACATGGAAACACAATACATTTGTTCAAATTCACTCTACGCAAAACGAGAAGGCACGGATCGCTAAGCCGGGGCCCACTCACAAGGTTC